GTGTGTGCGCGCGTGTGTGTGTGTGTGTTACCCCAGGGTCGATATCCTCCTGCGATGCCTTCCTCAACGTGTTTCAGTCACGTGGGCTGCGACCTGAGGTGATCTGTCCATGTGCCAGCTCTTCAGAAGCAATGACTGTCGCCATCCGCAGGTGCGCTTCCGTTACTGCACCTGACGAGAACAAAAGCAGCCTCTTTGGCTTTCTGTGCTGCTGTTATGTCACACCATGCTTGCAACATCAGCTGGTTCCTGCAGGGAGGAAGGGAGATTTGTTCTGTTGATCACAGCGCAGACTGTAGAGTCTCACAGCTTTCTGCTAATTGTGAAGCTCAGTTTTGGAGGAGGATTACGATGCCAGACGGATTGGGAGGCAAGAAAATGCTTCAAGTAGAAAAGCTGGCACTATTTTTAGTGAGAGAAATGCAAATTTAAATATATGCAAGAGTTAAGAAATGTAATGGAGCCACAGAGTCATTAAATTTCTCCAGAACCAGTTCACATCTTCTTTTTAAGTGTTAGTACTGCTGTCACTGTACTACACCAGTAGATGGCTCAGTCTGACTGCCGTAAGCAGAAAAGGAAGAATTTAAGTGATAGTATGGCTTAAGTAATAGCATGACTGTGTGTCCCGCAGACCTCCAGAAATGGGGGTTCCTCCTCCCGGGAAGGCGGTGCTGTCCATGGGTGGGCTGAGTCATGGGGTGATCCGTGTGGATACTGAGGAGAAACTCTCTGTTCTTACAGTGCAGGATGTGGGACAGGTCATGCCTGGAGGTACAGTATACCATGCACATTATTAACATTTTACTGATGTTAATGACTAAAATACTGATTTTGAAGAAGGTTGAGAAAAAGGAGATTTTCAAAAATTAAAAAAAAAAGTGTACATGCTGACACTGAAATATCTAACCATATAAAAGTGCTTGTAGCAAAATATTCACCTTAAAAGCCTCTTTTAAAACAACATTTTAAACGCATCACCAATAAATCACCACATCCAACTTAAATGAAATTATTTACCAAATTTTACTGTTTGAACTTTTCGAAGTGTTTCATAGAAGTTTTTGAAAAGCTTAATGCAAACCGGGATCTTGGAATCGATTTAAATATTGACCTTATGACTCATTCTTCCTTGTGCCCATCCTTCTGTGTCCATTTTGCATTTCCAGCCTTGGTCTGTGTGGTGCGAGCCGAGGGAATACCTTATCTCTGTCAGACAGACGAGGTCGGAGAGATCTGCGTGAGCTCAGGCAGCACCGGTGTCGCTTACTACGGCCTCCCAGGCATGACCAAGAACATCTTTGAGGTTGGTGTTTCGTTATTTCTGTAAGTGGTCAGGTGTGACAAAGGATTCGGCGCTTTTCTCCTAATCTTATTATTCATGAGTGTCACTTCATATGTGCAGTGTAATAGCACCACATTTCTAAAAATCTTCTTAATTGATAGCACTAAAATTAAATGAGTCATCATCTGATTGGACTTCTATTAAGTGAAGGCAGTATCTGTTTGTTTTGATGTTTGGTTTTAATAGTGTTGTATCTTCTTGCAGACTGTCCCTGTAACACCGTCTGGGATCCCGATCAGTGGCCGACCTTTCACTAGAACCTCACTGCTGGGCTTTGTAGGGCCAGTAAGTTCCTCTTTTGATTTCCTTTTAACCTTCCTTTGATTTAATGTCAGTCTTACAGCTTTACACAGGTACATTTTAACTGTCCTTTCAGATCTCTAGTACCTCTGTGACAGTTCTGGCAGCAAAAAATAAAAATAATGATAATGGGTTTTTCTGCTTAATAGAACAGATATTAATATCTGTCAGAAATAATCAGCATGAAGCGCCACATGTGATATTGTCAGTTTTACCATCTTGTTGCCTCTACTCTGGTTTGTGATTTTCTAAATTACTCAGGAAGACTCTCAATGGTTTGTGTTAGTGGTTGTTAGTCAACAGTGAGTTTAGTAACAAATATGCAAATGTTTTACTAACTAAACTAACTATTTGCAACATTAGATTGCCCAGTTAAAGGGTCCATCCAGTCAATGCGCAAAGACCAATCATCTCTGTAATTGTTGCAGGTATTTGTCCGTATTTTAATTTAATCTGCTCACAGAATTGAAGAAAACGGTCTCTGAGGCTATGGCATTTGATTTTAGTCTAAAAGATTAATTTTTCTTTTAGGATATTTCACTGAACTCCCTTTAGGCAGCATTATTTCTGAAGTGGATTATTCAGCAGTTTCAAAAGAAAGAAAGAAAGAAATGGAAATCTCTTTATTTTGAAGGATTGCTTTTGTGTTTATAGACTTTCAAACCAGTGAAAGATGGAGCTGACCTGAGTTTATTTGTTAAAATCGTGGAGATGATCATACCAGTGTCATTATCACTTGACAAATGGTGATGTTTTTTTAATTTCCGAGTTTAAAGCATAATTGTTTTCCCTTTGAGGACATGACAGCTCCTGGATGAAGAGTTTGATGATAGTTTATAAGACGTCTGTAAACCTTTTGAGGCATTCAGATTTCTTTGCACCAGGAGCTCGTGTGTTGTGCGGATCACCATATGAACTTTTGTGACTCTTTCCAGGACAGCCTTGTGTTTGTCGTGGGAAAGATGGATGGACTGATGGTCGTCAGTGGGCGGAGACATAACGCTGATGACGTAGTTGCCACAGCGCTGGCCGTGGAGCCCATGAAGTTTGTGTACAGGGGAAGGTAAAGGAGGAAGCGGCATGGAAATTGTGAAAGTTTGCACTTCTTGTTGAGCAGGACAGCCAGTTTGTGACGGTGTTGCTTTGCTCCCCAGGATCGCAGTGTTTTCTGTGTCTGTACTGCACGACGAGAGGATCGTCGTGGTGGCAGAGCAGAGGCCAGACGCCTCAGAGGAAGACAGCTTCCAGTGGATGAGCCGTGTCCTCCAGGTCCTCAATATTTTTTGTTTTGATCTGGTTTATTTTTGAATTTACATGTTTATAAAATAATAAATGAATCTCAAACTTTACCAAAAAAAATATAAAGCAGGCACTGTAAAAGTCGTCACTTGACAGCTTTGTGTAACCTCGCTGTTTGTTTTCAGGCCATAGACAGCATCCATCAGGTTGGGGTGTACTGCCTGGCTCTGGTACCTGCTAACACGCTTCCTAAGGCTCCCCTCGGCGGCATCCATATATCTGAGACCAAGCAGCGCTTCCTGGAGGGTGCTTTACACCCCTGCAATGTCCTTATGTGCCCTCACACATGCGTCACTAACCTGCCCAAGCCGAGACAGAAACAGCCAGGTAGACCACAAGACACCTCACTCTGAGATCAAAAACACAACAATAATTATTCCAATATGTTTGCCTTAAAATGATTTTTGGTGCTAACTTCACTGAGATGTATGATGATGATGCTTTGGTTGTGCTGGACAGAGGTTGGTCCTGCTTCTATGATAGTGGGCAACTTGGTGGCAGGCAAGAGGATAGCACAAGCCTGCGGGAGAGACTTGGGACAGCTGGAGGACAATGACCAGGCACGTAAGGTAGATAGTCATCCTCATTTCATCCATGCCACACCTCTGCTCACACACTGCAGACACAGGTAAGGATCCACACCTGAGGGAGAAATCTGAGTCTAGATGTATGTGCTCTTCAGTTGGTTGGACAACCTCAGTCAGGAAATTGAACAGCACGGATGTTACAAAGACGAGTTGCCTGGATCCAGCCACTCTTACTAGATTGTATGATGTCATCTCAACAAGAACAAATTAAGTTGCTGAATTTCATGCAGATGCTACATGATTTAATTACGTTCACCATAGAAACATGGAATTATTTAGTTCAAATTACAAGTCTGGATCTTGTGCATGTAACAACCACCCAATTTCATTTTTTTGAGTCGACTCGCTAAATTCACAAGATCACATTAGATGTCAAACCACAGGAAAATCACTGGGGTTACAAGAGGCAGACAACCACATCACGTGTATGCTGCTACTATTTCTTATGGTTGAACTTGTCAAGGACAACGACATAAAGCATCATCAAGCATAGCTTTCCTACTTTTGTTAAGACTGTATTGACAGATTAATGCCATGGTGGTTCGTGCTGTTGCCTCAGAGCAAGAAGATCCTGGGTTCAAATCCACAATGTGGCGAAGTTTGCAGTGGGTTCTCTGTGTATTCTGGTTTCCTCCACAGTTAAAGGTCATGCAGTTGTAAGGGTAGCTGGTTATTCTAAATTACCCAAATGTGTTGAAGTGCAAATGGTTGTTTGTCTCTGTATGATAGACTAGTGACCTGTCCAGTCTGTACCCTGGCCCTGTTACCCTATCACTTCCACAGCCCAGATAAAGATAAGAAGATGGGTGGATTGGAAGTTGCTGTAAAACAAATTTTTTTGTTGAACATTATGTAATATGAATACAACATGTACTACAGACATAAGTTACATTTCATTCATTCAACAAGATTATCATTGGTGTAAGAAACAAATATTTTACTAGTTCATGTGACAAGACTGACTTTTGATGTGCCAAAGTGTTTAAACAATATAAGATGAATTTAAATAAATTTAATTAGACTAACGTGGTGCAAACATGTTGATTGAACAAAAGTCAAATTAATTGAATGTTAATGTTAATATTATGTTAAACCTACACACATATATCGTGTTGACACAACACAACCAAGATGGATTAATATAACATGATTTGTTTAGATGGAATATAAGTGGCAAGATAAAATTACGTTCATCCAATGAATAATTTTTTTGAGTGTACATGCAACTGAGAGATGGCCTTCCCTTCTGCAAAAAACACAGGCATCACATAACTCAGATTGTTTTCCCATCATGCATTACACCTTTTTGCCTTTTGATCATCATCTGCACATGTGCTCTACCCCTTAAATGTTTCTTATTCATGTGCAAAAACAGCCTTGTCTTATTATGCAACAATATTTAAAACCATTTATTAAGTGAGACAAGATATTTCTGTGTGACACTTTGATATCTTTGTAGTTAATTTTGTGTTTTCTTCCTTTAGTTCCTCTACATTCAGGATGTGCTACAGTGGAGAGCTCAGGCCACTCCAGACCATCCTCTGTTTCTGGTTCTCAATGCTAAGGTATTGTCTGTACTGGGGTTTGACTTAAGAAAGATCAAATTTGATCAATAGAAAGATCTCTAAATAGAATGTGGTTTTGAAGGTAGTAACACTGATGTGTTATTACAGTAAATTTCCTTGAAATTCAGTTTAAAACCTTTTTACAAAAAAAGATTGTTGTCTCAGGTTTATCTGTTACCCTGATTCAGTTTAATTAAGTGAGTCATGAATAAAGATACTTCATTAAAGTGATGCAAAACTCCTGCAACTCAAGTTTTCATAAGAGGAAAGAAAAAAAGTTGTAATGCAAAGTTAGCTTGTTAGACATTTATGGACTGATAAATCTTGATGATGGTGAATTAAATAAAGAGAACGGTGCAGATATATGTTACTCTTGTGCTTTCTCGTCAGGGCACAGTGTCCAGCTCAGCTTCCTGTCTGCAGCTGCACAAGCGAGCAGAGCGAGTGGCAGCAGCTCTGATGGGACGCCTGAACACTGGAGACCACGTAGCACTCGTCTATCCGCCAGGTAAAAAAAAAAAACATCCGCTGCCCTGTGCTTCTTGACCTTTTAAAACATCCTCACTCCATTAGGTTTAAGAGAAAAAATATATATAAACAAACATTATGTGCAGGAATTGACCTGATTGCCACTTTCTACGGCTGCCTGTACGCTGGCTGTGTGCCGGTCACCGTCAGACCGCCGCATCCACAGAACCTGGCCACCACTCTGCCCACCGTCAAAATGATCGTTGAGGTAACGCAGAGGCTGTTTGGGGACACATCAAGTGCTTATGGCAGTCAATGTGGATTGTATGCATTAAAAAATACATTAAAGTCAGTGATCTTCAGATGTATTTGTGCTCTGTTAGCAACGCTTTACTGTCTAATAGAAAACATGAACAGCAACACAACATATGTAGTTAGATTCTACTATCTGTGGTAAAGGTCAGCAAGTCAGTGTGCATCCTGACAACCCAAGCAATAACGAAGCTGCTGAAATCCAAAGAAGCTGCTGCTGCTGTGGACATCAAGAGCTGGCCCACCGTGCTGGACACTGGTAATTTATGTACACACACTCAAATGCTTAATATCAATTTCTGCAGTGAGCGTTCTCCTAATTCGCTCATTCTTCATCCTGCAGATGATCTCCCCAGGAAGAAGAGCCCCCAGATGTACAAGCCCCCAACCCCAGAGATGCTGGCTTACCTGGACTTCAGTGTGTCCACGACAGGCATCCTGGCAGGGGTCAAAGTATGTTGAAGGAACTGTCTGGTTCAGTAGATTCACATGTTGCCATCATATTGCCTCTTTTTGTTCCTGTTAATGCACACCTTGAAATGGAGGGGTAGGATGTTTCAGAGCTGGAACTGAAAACGCTTATGAAGTTCTAGGTGGGATCTTGGGACTACGAAGAGCTGTTGGTCCAGTGACCTAAGCAAATGACCAGAGACGACCACCACGTGAGAGTGATGGGGATAATCTGAGGCTAGCCCATTAAGGCACTCATGAATAAGATTTTACAATTAATCCTGTTACAAACAGATATCAAGTGTATCATTATCAGAAAAGGTGGCAAATGCTTATCTTTAGACATATATATCAGGAGACTAATTTCCCCCTTTAAAACCCCTTTTCCCAGGATGTTAGTACCTATCAGACATGTAACTAACTACAACAATCTACTCAAGAGGCAATAAAAAGCACATTTGATCTTTTGAAGGGTATATAAAGAAAGTAAGGTTTGAAGTCCTTGATTTTAAGCACTTTTCTTGAATTCAGTGTCAGGTCGCAGGACATTTTAACATTAGCTGTACCTCTTGTTCACACTTAATTTGGAAAAACTGGATTCAGATACTTGCCTATAAATGAAATGAACTACAAAAAAAACCCTATGAAGTCCTATTTGACAGATTTGCAAGTCTAATTAAAAAGAGGAACAAACGGCATGTTTGACTGGGTGAACTTCAGCACATTCTGGAGTTATGATTGATTTTATAGGACAACAGTAAAGGCTTAAAAGGTTCTTAGTCTGCTGTGAAGTAATGAATCCCTGAATGTTACTGCAGCGCCCAGTCTTTTCTTTTTTTTATGTCATATTGTCTCTTCTAGATGTCTCATGCTGCCACCAGTGCCTTGTGTCGCTCCATTAAGCTGCAGTGTGAGCTCTACCCATCCCGGCAGATCGCCATCTGTCTGGACCCGTACTGCGGCCTGGGCTTTGCTCTCTGGTGCCTGTGCAGGTAGGGGCTCTCAACAAACGACCACCAGTAACATTTGAAAATCTGGACACAGATTATTATCTTTTCTTTCTGTGGATTCCTGTTTATTCTCTCGCCTGCATCTTCTTGTTTCAGTGTGTACTCGGGCCATCAGTCGATCCTGGTTCCACCGCTGGAGTTGGAGAGCAACGCATCTCTGTGGCTTGCAGCCGTCAGCCAGTACAAAGTGCGCGTCACGTTCTGCTCGTACTCAGTCATGGAGATGTGCACCAAAGGACTGGGTTCACAGACAGAAGCACTGCGGGTCAGTTTGTCTCTTCAGCTGTTGAACAGTGTCACTGAGGGGAAACAACAAACCACAGCGTTTTTCTTGCACAAAGTTGAAGTGATTCTTTTCAAATAGTCCTTTTCCCTGCGGTGCTGTTGCACCAGCGCCATAATTATCAAGACAAAGTGAGGGTACTCAATGGTGAAGCACTTCACTGCTCCGTGTCTGCCTGCTGATTACTGTCTGCAGCACTTAAGACTGGTCTGTCTGTGATCTAATAGATGCCTAATAAAAATAATTATTAATATTAGAACACAGAAACGATTTTTCTCCTTTTTTCTGCAAAGACCAAAATAATCTTATCACTCTCAAGTTCGTAGGTTTTGCTGATGCTGATCTTCTTTTTCCCCCCATATCCAGCTGAGAAATGTGAACCTGTCCTGTGTGCGTACCTGCATGGTGGTAGCAGAGGAAAGGCCCCGCATAGCCCTCACTCAGTCCTTCTCGAAGATCTTCAAAGACCTGGGGCTTTCACCGAGAGCTGTGAGCACCACCTTCGGCTGCAGGGTGAACGTAGCGATCTGTTTGCAGGTAGGCCCACTGGTCAAGGAAAATTAGAAGCGAAAGGGGGAAGGCTGGGAAAAGTTCAGAATGAATGAATGTCAGTGTTTTAGAGCCAAAGCAGGCAATGAATCTGGGCAAAGATTCATGGCAAAGATGTTAATGAAATTCTTGTGCGGTGTCGGTTTGACAGCACTTCATAAAAGCATCAATGTTAGTGATGTTGAACTTGGAAAGTTTGTGGATGCTTGCATTAGCTGAGAAGAATAAAAGGCAACAAGATGTAATTATTGATGTATCGATGTAAAGAAACTGAAAAAGTTAATTAGAATTCATCATAAATCCATCAAAAATGAAGATTCGATTAGAAAACTGCTACGCAGTCCAGTTGTTTTTTGTCTCTGCAGACAGCTTTGTTTATTTTATCTCTAACCGATGGATTTCATTTCCTCGTTTATTTAACTGGTTGGTTATTTTTTTCTAGCTCCTGCAGTGCAGCTCTGTACACACCCTGAAACACAAGCCAAAACACTTTAACTGGAAAACATGGGGCATTTAAAACTTTTTATTAAATAAAACTATTTTATTAGATAATTAAAGGGTGAAATACAAGACCTTGATTTACCAGCTCACTGCATGTTAAGGAAGAGTTTAGAAAGTGCAATGGTTCATCTTACATTTAGTTCCAGTTTATAAAAACTGTGAAATAAGTCATGTTTTGACTTTGACTTTTGTCAGTTTTTGGTCTTGTTCTTTTGTTTTATAGTTTTATTTTTTTTTTTCAGTCCCTGATGATTTATGTGTGTGTCTGAGTGTGTATGAGAGTTGCCCACGTATCTGAATACATACACATATATCTCTTTATTTATCTGTCCTGCCCTGTCCTGTCAGCCCAACAGGTTAGGGAAACTGGCTGAGCAGGTACTGTGTGATAAGAGTGGCTGTTTGCTCTGCTGCTTGGTCTGTCTGTTTCTGTGTGTTCACGTTTGTCATTTATTTTGCATGAAGTTTTGTCATGCTTAGCCACAGTTCACTATTTTTTTTAGCACTTAGCTTGTTTTTTTTTCTCTTCCCGATGAGCTTCAGCTTCTGTATCGCTATTTATTTCAGCCGAGTCCTGCTTCTATCAGCTGGCTCCTGATCATTGCTCTACAGCAGGTTTAGATACATGATCCACACATAATACAATGAGCTGGCTGCATGAACTCTGCTGCGACTCAGTAAATTAGGGTATAATCAGTAGAGTTTATGTCGTACTTTCATACTTCAATCCACAATATTATACAAACTAACAGGGCATAATTGTTTGTGTGTCTTTTTATTCAGTTTTTAGGATATATAAATGTTTTTCAGCTTTTTGAACATATTTAAAATTTACCATATTTTGTTTTTATCTTGTTTTCAGTATATAGACTAATGAATTACTTATGTATGTTCTGAGGAACCTTTATGTTACTGACAGGTGGTCGTTCAGGTAGACGTGCTCTGCTTAGTAAACTGAATCCTGCTTTCTGTGTTTGGCTGTGACTCACAGACCTCGGTGCAGCGACTCATTGCTGGCTTGTGCTCTGGCTGTAGACTGGCAAAGCGAGTGATGGAAAACATAATTTGTTGTGACCAGTCTCACAGCGGTAATGATGACAAATCCCACACAAAGGGATCTATATGTGACAGCTGTAATCAGCACTTGAAAAATGAATCCCTTAGAATTCAGCTGCACTGAAGTACTTTGATTTTTAATCAAAACAAATGATGTTTAGACTTTGTTGAGTCATTTTTTATAAGCATTATTATTTAGAATTTAAATAAATGTTCCAGGTTTTCCCACAGAGCAGGTGATGGAGGTATTTGTGTTTACATGGCCCAGGTTTTGCCAGAGTCCTAACTATCGCAGCCTGGCTGGTTGGCTTCTGGCTGCCCCTTGCTTTGTCAGCAGTAGTTTCATAATCAGCTTCCAAACCCCACTCCACTTAAGCAACATGCAGCGTTAATGCCACAGCTGTAGCACGTAGGTTATTGGCTCATATCTGGATCTGCTTGTTTCTTTCTTTTTTCCCCAGGGTACAGCTGGACCAGATCCCACCACAGTTTTTGTGGACATGAGAGCACTACGGCACGATAGGTGGGAGCACTGTGACAGTATGCATTCATATACATGCATTTAAAACATGACCCGACTTTGAACTAATTAGTACTCAAAGTTTTTTTCTTTCCTTTATTTACGTGTCATATTTACAAAAACAGTGGATATGACATTGCTCACTTTGTCTTTTCAGGGTTCGCCTGGTTGAGAGAGGGTCACCGCACAGCCTGCCACTGATGGAGTCTGGAAAGGTACGGCCTAATTTAAAACTAAGAACTGAAACACAGCAACATAGTGTGTAACGCTGCTGCTTCCAGGGCTTTTTTTGTTAATTTGAGTCCTGGCTGTCTGCTGCTGTAGATCCTCCCTGGAGTAAAAGTCATCATTGCAAACACGGAGACTAAAGGACCCTTGGGAGACTCCCATCTAGGAGAGGTGAGTTGTTTTTTAAGAGAGCAGAGCTGTCAGTCAGTCAGTCAGTCAGTCAGTCTTCTGTGTGCTTAAAGGGAACCTGTTGTGCTTGTTTCCATCTCCAGATTTGGATTTGGATGATTCGCAGTTTAAAATAATCCATATTTATCTTATACTAGACCTCGGTGAAGTCCCTCAGTCCATCCACTCTCTAAGGCAACCTCTAGACAATAAGAAAAACCACTTATTATTCAGTCCCCTTTAAAGCAGGTTACAGTCGCTTTCTGCAATAACCTAAAAACATCTTAGTGTTAAGGTGTTTTGTTTTTTTATTTTTAGCAGCAGAATTCATTCAGCACAGTAGAAGCAAATGTCTATTTACATATCAGTGCTGCTTTTTAAAACATCTTGCTGAGATTTGTGTAAAAGCTACACAAAGTGACCTTTTAGGCTGAACAGCAGTTCAACGTTAATGTGATTAATTTACTTGGCTTTTGGTTTTTTTGGAACAAGTTTGCAGGGGTACTTTCAGCTTCTCCCTTATTTCAAGAGGTCACCACAACAAATAGATCTGTATGTTGATTTGGCACCGATTTTATACTTGATACCCTTTAATGGGATCAGCATGAGGAATACGCAGCTTGTGACTCATCATATTGGGTTTGTAGCGCCTCAGAACTTTGACCAGAAGAAAGAGCAAAGTGTGTGCTTCTGAATGTAACAGTCACCAATTGTAACTAATATGTGTATCAGATCTGGGTGAGCAGTCCCCACAATGCCACAGGATACTACACAGTTTATGGGGAGGAGGCGCTGCATGCTGACCACTTCAACACCAAGCTGAGCTTCGGGGACACTCAGACAGTCTGGGCAAGGACCGGCTACCTGGGCTTCCTGCGGCGCACTGAGCTGACCGATGCCAGCGGAGGTGAGTGACCAATGCTTAGTCTAACTTAAAGTCTGCATCTTTCCACGGAAAGCTAATTTAAGTATTTTCTAGCATCAAAACGTAAACTGAACAGTCTGACTGTGGGTGTTTGTGTGTCTCAGAGCGTCACGACGCCCTCTATGTGGTGGGCTCTCTTGATGAGACTCTGGAGCTGAGGGGGATGAGGTATCACCCAATTGACATCGAGACCTCTGTTATCCGTTCTCACAAGAGCATAGCTGAATGGTGAGAAACCTACAACACCTTTAGTCGCTAGTTGTCAATATGACAACAGAGATTTATTTACTTGATCAATTTAAAAAATGACGAAGAAATATGAATTCTACATGACTTCTCTGTATTTACTTTCATCCACCATCCTCCTCCTCCTCTCTCCAGTGCGGTGTTCACATGGACCAACCTGCTCGTGGTGGTTGTAGAACTGGAGGGATCTGAGCAGGAGGCCCTCGACCTGGTGGCCCTGGTCACCAATGTGGTCCTGGAGGAGCACTACCTCATCGTAGGGGTGGTGGTGGTGGTAGACCCCGGCGTCATCCCCATCAACTCCAGAGGGGAGAAACAACGCATGCACCTCAGAGATGGATTCCTGGCTGACCAGCTGGATCCCATATATGTGGCTTACAACATGTGAGGAGCTAATTGTGGCAGGGTTGACCCCCACTACCCTATGTGGCTTTATGACACTACAGGAGACAGCAGGACAAGCATCTACAGGGGCTTGTAGCAGTTGCAGGCTCGATCTCTGGATGGCTTCGGTTGTGCAAAAGCGATCTGCCCGCTTATTTTTTTTCTACTCGTGCAGGAAAAATGTGAAAGAAACATGGATGCAAAACTTGGACACAAACCTCAAGCCTGTTTCTCTCAATTTCTGGTCTCAGCAAATAACTTTTTAAAGGGCATTCTTGTGTTATTGAAGTGAGTTTTGTATGTATGACAAAACCTCATCTAAACCCAGGACAGCTGAGAGCGGCAGAGCAGGTGGTTACGGTATGATACAGCGGTGTGCCATTGACATAATTTATTTTGTCAATTTCAAAAATGTTGAATGTTAACTGTGTTTGCCAAACACTTGTGCCATAGAAGAGAACTGATGCCAGTACCCAAACCCTGACTCGAACGACCTCCGACGCGTTTCATGTTCAGCCTCCTGCACCATTACTGGTCCGATGCTTTTCACGGGATTTGCCGCTACACCTGTAGGAGCAGCTGCACCCTGAAATGAACCCCAGATTTTTATTCTGCAGCTCAGTACAGATCAAGTTATCGCAACAATAAAGAAGCACACAGCAGCGGCGTCCGAGGAGAAGGAGGAGCAGTTCGTGTTATTTTTTTTCTCGCTCATTTGTGCTTTAGTTTGTAGTGCCAGTAGCTTCCACATAATGCTGTGGTAACTCAGTCTCATCGTTTTCTAATTCTGAAATGTGTAACAGAGTTTTATGTGAACAAAAATGCAATATGAGTGATGTGAAAGATGAATGACTGCATACAGTAAGTGCCGATCAGTCGAAGAATAACGTGCTAAACGATAAAAGCCTTAAGTATTTTTTTCAGACGTCTGTTCCAGTCCCAGCTGGAGTTTATCAGCTGTTGGATATGGGGGGGGGGGGGGGTAAATATGCAGATGGAGGTTAGAAATAGCAAATTTCGCTCTTATCGTACCCAAAGGTTTGCATCTTTTTGGCTAAGATAAATATACTTGATCCTAACATCAGCCATTACAAACACACACTCATTCATTCCATAAATATTTTAATGTGCGTCCCTGTCAGCTGTGTCGAGTGTGTGTTTTATAGCAAAAGACTGGAAGAAGTGGGTGTGGCTTTTGTTGCAGAATGTCAGACTCATTTTGAGTGACTGAAAGTTGTTGGGTTTTAAGGCAAATGTCTAATATGCTCATAACACCCAGACCTCCCATCGTATCACGTCAACTTTCTTGCTTCTTTTTTCTATGTGCACAACCCTTCAGAAACAGGCATCAGCCTGCTGTAAGTATGTACAGATTTTGTGTAAATTATTGATTGAAGGATTAGACAACAGGAAGCAGAACACAAAGACTAAATCTGGTATATATGTGAACTTCTCCCTTACAAACAGAAGGTTATTTGCAAAGGATTTTCATGTGGAAACACTGGAAGGAGACGTGAAAAGCCTTGTAGACATTTTTATGGTATGAAACAACAGCAGGATGAGGTGAAGTACACGCCAAGCACAAACAGAACACAGTTATGCTCTGGTGACGGCGGAGATGTCACAGCCTTTACAGCAAAACGTTGTTAACATATGGAAAGATGCATTTGTCTGATATATGGTTAGTTGTCATTATTTTCATAACATGATTTCATAATGAATAAAAAAAGTTCTTTTAACTTGAAGCCTTTCTCTTCATTGATTACTGAACGTCTGATCAGTTGTTCATAAAAAGTAAACCAGTTTTTAGGAGTGATGTTAAACAGTGAAGCACTTGTTACTGTTTCTAACAGATCTGTCCAATACATAAAGGAACCTATTAGGCTTTTCCTTATTTTATCATAGTGTTACAGTGTTGGATAAAATAAATATGGCTAAGGTTTTCCACAGTGAGTGGCTTGTCTGTTATTGATCAGATCTTTGGTCCGTGACTCTCTAGATGCATTTTTTTTTATATCACATTGACATTTAAGGGTAAATATTGTTTCTAACCATCCACATGCATGTCCAGAGACATGACCAGACTTGGAAACACTTAAAGAGGGAGAATTTGGTCTGTTTAACTAATCAGACAAAAAAGTCCCGATTACATGGGAGGAGAAATGATTAAAGACATCATTTAAGGTCCTCTTCAGATCTTTCTGCTAGCAAATATTTAAAAAAAAAGGAAAACAAAACAAAAATTCCCCAATTGCAATGTGGATTTAAGTTTAAAGATTTTAAGTTTTTCAGAAGACAAAACTGGATACAAGTAAAAATCAGTATGCGGTAGTTATACTGTCTCTCAGCAAATAGTCATAACTTTAAAACACCAAAACTGCATATTTGCATTTACATTACAAGCATACAGTGAGTATATTGATCCAAGGCAGGTTTTTAACAAACAGTAAGAAATTCACTGAGTGACTGTTTTGATCTCAGAGAGTAGTCAACAGTGTCAACAAGACTTACAAAGAACATCTGATGTTTTCATTTTCATAACACAGAATATATCGATATCACCAATAAGCAGCTTTAAATGACAAGAATCCAAAAAAAAGTAATTTAGTACTTACAATTTTCTTCAGTGTGTTTACATATACATGCACACCATAACATAATAATGAGTACTGAGTATGAGAAGTGAGACAAATAAGTAAAATAAAAAAAGTTTTCTTTTTTCTTTGTGATGTTAAATAATATTTCAGTTTTACACTTTACATTACATTACTTTTAACATGTAGAAAAACAGTTACACTGACCAATACCTTGTTTTAAATCCTTAATTCACATATGCTTCTATTTTATTAAGGAGCTCTGATGCCTTGTTCAGTGCCAGCATTTCATTCTCTGATCTGAATTGTCCGTTCGGTATGTGGGGATATGGATGGCAGTTGGGATATTGAGTCTTTTTGGGATCCACTCCGAGTGTCTGCAGGTTTTTCACAATCTCAGGCAGATCTCTCAGTTGGAGGCTGTAGCGGGAAACTTGTGCAGCAGTGGCTGAAATTGAGCTGCTGTTGGGGCGTTGTCCATTTCTTTTATAGCATGCTGCTATGAGAGACTTTTCTACTGCTTGATGGACCTTAAACAGACACCACTCTGTGCTCCCTCCACCAGTGTCTTTGTGAGCTGCATTGAGATCGCAGCGAGCCTGTCTACACCAGCGTCTGGCCTCTTCTCTGTCTGGCCTTGGGACATTTTCATTGTGGGTCCAGAAGT